CATTCCGCCGCCGTACTTCCCTAGTATCGTATGTTTCTATGCTATCGGTCTCTATCATCCTTTTGACCACATACTATAAATAGAACGGAAGTGCAGATACGAGTAACTTCGACGAAGAGTTCACACGAGAGCAGCCAACGCTCACGCCGGTGCACGGTCAGTTGTCCAGCCGTGACCAAGCCGAATTCAACGGCTTCTCCTGGGTACGTGATACGGTGCTTCGAATACAAGACTCCCGCTGACTCCGCCTCCGTAGGTTGCTTCTTGGGCCGACATGTGAGAACGTATGCACCGGTCTCTGGCTATCTTGCACGGACAGTTGTTGACGTATTACCACCTTATCATGTCTTCACCCTATAGCGATCGGTTGTGTATCCTGGATACCTATTATCTCTGTAAATGCAAAATGTACCTATCCTCGAGTGCAGGTCGGGACTCGCGGGCGGATCCTTTTTTCGCTCAGTAAGACCTCAAGTAGAGCGCTAATGTTCCAATATAATGCACGAATTCCCCTCCTTTTTCTACTGTTCCGCAGATTCCGGATTTGATTGTCTAAGGACATGTCCACCTGTACCGGGAAGTCCCTGGGGCTGGCCCTCAGCCGGCTCCTCTTCCTTCTGGTTGCGCATGAGTACATGGAAGCTATGCCACAGCTCGGCGATTGTTTCGTACTCCCTGGTCATGCTCAGCACCTCTTCGAGCTTTCGGTTCAGCTGGTTGCTCAGTGGCAGCAGTTCCTCAAAGCCCTGCGGTTTGCGTGAGTGCGCGCAGCCCTGTGTTACGTGCTAAAGTGCTACTCACGGCGGTAATTTCGGCGGTGAGGCGGTCGCGCTCTCGTTCAAAGAACGAGCTGTCCTCCTCAGCGTGCGCCATCTCCACGGAGCACCTTGGAATTAATCTGCATAATTCGATCTCGTAAAGAATGGCAAACACCGGAGTGAACACTAACCGACACGCCGCGAAAGCGTTGGTGGAGGTGTGGAACCAAGAACGAAAGGAGACCGATTCCTTCGTGGCGTCTCAGCGCCTGCCACTTTCCCACGGATTTCGAGTCAAGGAGCGGTGGCAGGGACAAGCATCGTTTGAGCAGCGTATAGTTGGTTTACAAGCGGTAAGTACTACCCCAAAAAATATACAGTGGTATAATATGTACGTTGGCAACGAAAGGATTTTAGCGGAAGTAAAGGCGGCGAGAGAAATAGCAAGAACTAAAACGGCAGCGCGCGGATAAGATAGAAGCGAAACGAAACGAGGGGGGCGACACAAAGCTGTCCGGCGGTCGGAAAGTCGTCTGTAAGGAGAGACGTATTTTCTACAGGAATCCACTCTCCTGAAGGAGACGAGCCATCTTCTCGTCCTCACGTTCACGGGGCTCTCTGTCGAGACTCTGGTTCCAGAATTGGTCACCGTAGTCCTTCCCGTCTTGATACTTCTCGAAGCCCTCCTCGAGCCAGGTGCAGATCACTGGGACCAAATTCAAGTTATAGGGCATTGCTTGCCAGCGCTTGATGTCCAAGATAACTTCGGCGGCCTTCTGGCGTTTCCTGAAGTTCACCATTTGCCCAGAGATCTTGTCCTCAGCACCATCGTTGATGAAGGTCAGAGTTGTTAGATATGTACCTTTGACGAATGTCAGACACGCAGAGAGTGATATAAAACGGGGATTACTACTCACCGATGAAGGGGACGCACGGAGGAGTGATGCTTGCCAGAGTGGATCGATAATTGTTGAAGTTCTTGTTGGAGTCGATAGTCGCCTCGCACGTCGCCAGCTGCGACATGAACCGTTGATTGACGAGCTCCCAAGTTCGCTTCAACCTACGGATGGGTGGCGTGTTGAGACCCGAAGTAATGGCCACCATGGTGGAGAAGTTCTGTAACGAGCGGCAGCGCTATGGAGGCATGGTTGGGGACGTAATGGACGAAAAGAGGAAGGATATACATACGTCGGCGATGGCAATGAAATGCTTCACAATGACAGCACGCTTCCGCGAGTCTTCCTTCTCAAGGACCGACTCCGCAACCCAATTCGCGATCTATGTCGGATCATGAGCGCCACCCTCCATCTCGCTCGCGAACTGCACTCACCCTATTACTCAAACGAATGATATTCGCGATATTGTCGTTCGCCTTTCCGGCGCGTGTGGATTCACGCGAGCGTGTAAGGCACTCGATTGGTCGGATTTTCTTGTACAGGTCTGCCTCCATGATGGTTAGCTGACGCGCCATCTCGAGCGGGTCGACCTCAAGCAGCTTGAGCTTCCTCAGGTTTTTGGGGAGGATTGGCGGTGGCGGAGACACAGGCATAGTGTTGATGGTCTTGATAGCACCCTCGCCTCCATGCAGCTGAACATCACCTGTGAGAGCAACTCCGAAACGGCGCAAAGCAAACATACCACTCGGTCAATGAGCACGACAAGAGACTTCGCAGCAGCAACGCTCGTCGTCAACTCCGCCTTCACGCAGAAGTCGCGGATGCGGTCGAGGATGTACATGTCGTCTTTCTCGAGGACATCCTCATCCGTGATCATCGTCCGGAATGTGTTCAACACTCGGAGACGAATCATGACCTGCTTCTGCTTCGTCCAGTCCTCGAGCTCTTCGGAAGCCAGTTGCAGCGGCGGCTCAATCCAGAAGCGCGCCACGAGCAGCTCGAACAGCTCGTCGAGCTCCATGAACGACTTGAACGTAATCATGAAGTGCTTGCTGAATGTATGATCTGCGGTCCGCCGTGAAGTGATCAGTCCGATTCCTCTGCAGGGCATCAGCCGACTCACCGGCCGTCTCGTGCGCAGTCAAGCGTTCGATCAAGGCTGTCTTTGACCCAGCCCTGACACCACCATCAGGATCGATGAGAATCTCCGACTGGTCATAGTTCGGCCGCAGGTACCAGGGCTGCTGGTCGGCGTTAATCTTGTTGATGTAGTGCTGCGGGGCCTCCCCAAGCAGCTTCACAAGTTTCGACGCCGCTTTTGGCGCTGGCGACTTGCCGCTCGACGCTGATCCAGATGTTGTTAGCACGATGAAACATTGGAGCGCGACATGTGAACTCACGCCCGGCAACGTCAAGCAGGGAGCCGGTATCGTCGGCGAACATGTCGTCTTCGTCGTGTGCGATCATCGTGCCCACGTCCGACGAGCCCTCGTGCCATGTCGGGGTGACCGGCTCGTTTGGATCTTCCGAACGCGACCGCTCCGTGTTGAGCGACGTCTCAGAATGCTGTTGCGACCCATTGTGATATATGGTCGAAGACGCGTGGCCTGAATCTAATGACGGCACAGTGCGTAGTGCCGGCCTCGAGAACGCGAGCTCCATGTCGACGACATCCTCTGCCTCGTGCGCCGGGTTGCCAGAAATAGTGGCAGTGTCATACAAGACAGTACTGCCCCGGGAACGTCGCCACTCGATGGAGCTACTGTATGCGTTGGTCCCGATGTCGGCTTGGTCTCGTCCGATGAGGTAGAGGTGCTCGAGTTGGGAGGCGGTAATGTTAAGATTTGTCTTCAGCGTCATCACCAGGCCCTCGACGAACTCATACTGGGACACGCTGTCCGAACCAGGATGTTGCGTGTGCTGGTCCCATTCTCGTGGCGCTTGGACAGCCTCGAGAAGAGAGGTAGCGTCGTCGTACAGCGCCTGGACGGCGACCTCGAGCGTGCGAAGCAGGAAGCGCGCCTTTTCGACAGTCTCTGCGTACGGGGGCGTCAACGTCTCCGCCCGCACGGCGTCGACGTCGACCTGCTGAGCGACGTCAATGTCGCCCACGTATGCGAGGATAGATGACAGGTGTCCG